TGTTTGAGGTCTGAGATGCGGGATTTTTAGGTCAGCGTTGCTGTCTAATCAGCCAATATTGTCTTCAATAGCCTGCGTAGGACTTCATCTTTTATAACATGGGATTTTGACTAAATATATTCAATCTTCATTTTTATAAAATGTTGCAACAAGATGTTAAAAAATGTTGTTGTTGTTTTGTGAAAAATTAGGTTTTGGACATACAAGGTAATAAAAAAATATATTTTTAAAAACCTTAAAGTAACTGTAAATGAGCATGTAAAGCAAATATCTCTAAAAGAAATTCCGTGTGGAGCAAACACCTGTTGCATGTTCCTGCTGATATCATAACGCGCTTTCCTTTGGTCGCAGATACGCTTACCAGTTCTTCGGCAGTACGAGTCCCATCATGATTATGTACTTCACTCGCGTTCCAATATCCACGTAAAACTAAATGTTGTGCATAACATCACGGCGTTACTGTGATAAAGCTTAACGGCACAGATTTGACTACATATTTAATCTGAGCAGTGTGTTTTTTCCATATGTTTGACAATGTATTTTATTATGATAATGAACGGGCTGCATTGTCAAGGTAGCAATGCTTAACTGTGTGAGCACATGCGGCGCCGGCGCAATCACTTGAGTTTTTTCCTTCTAACAGTGGAAGCAACTACTCCTTTTAGTCCTAAAGATAATCGGAATTGTAAAAGGTTTGCCTTTATTTGTGTACGTTCACAATAAAAACAAATCTAAAGAAAAATAGGAGGCCGCTTTCTGCCGTCTTGGTTTCCTTTCGCGCAGCACAAAAATGAACCGAAACAATGCATACTAGGCTACTTGTTGCAGTTTTTCTTTCATTTTCTTAATTTATTATTTAAATCCAAATATATTTATCTTATAGGCCTATTTATTAGTTATAATATATAGATTTAATTATATCGCATGGAATTGATCTTACTGATATAGATATCGTACCTCAAAGTGATGATGTTACTGACCATTTCCTTGTATCGTGCATGCTGCGTATTACTGATATTAACTATATGGCTCCGTGTTATCGTCCGGGCAGAACTATTGTTCCAGGCACCAAAGACAGATTCACAAATAACCTGCCTGATTTATCTCAATTGCTCTGTGTACCAATAAGTACACATGAACTAGATGAAATAACTAGCAACATGGGCACTATCTTCTCTAATACATTAGAAGCTGTTGCCCCCATCAAATTGAAAAAGGTTAGAGAAAAACGTACTGCGCCATGGTACAACAGTAATACCCATTCTCTCAAGAAAAAAACTCGTAGTCTTGAGCGCAAATGGAGAAAAACTAACTTGGAAGTTTTTAGAATTGCGTGGAAAAACAGTATGTCCAGCTATAGACAGGCTCTAAAAGCTGCCAGGGCCGAGCATATCCACAAACTCATAGAAAATAACCAAAACAATCCTAGGTTTTTATTTAGCACAGTGGCTAGATTAACAAATAACCAGACGCCACCCGATCTAAATATTCCCGCACAGTTTAATAGTAATGACTTTATGAATTTCTTCACTGATAAAATAGATAACATCAGAAATACAATAACAAATGTAGATTCTACAGCGTATAATACTTTAGCTTCATTCATCGCACCAAAAGATAAACTGCAGTGCTTTACAGCTATAGGACAGGAAGAGCTAAATAAACTTATTACTGCATCTAAACCAACAACATGCCTGTTAGATCCTGTACCCACTAAATTACTGAAAGAGTTGTTACCTGTAGCAGAAGAACCGCTTCTCAATATTATTAACTCGTCGTTGTCTTTAGGTCACGTCCCAAAAACATTCAAGCTGGCGGTTATTAAGCCTCTTATTAAGAAACCACAACTAGATCCTAGTGAACTGGCTAATTACAGACCCATCTCAAATCTTCCTTTTATGTCTAAAATTTTAGAAAAAGTTGTGTCTGCTCAATTGTGCTCCTTCCTGCAAAAAAATTATCTCTATGAAGAATTTCAGTCAGGTTTCAGGCCCCGCCATAGCACAGAAACTGCACTTGTTAAAATTACTAATGACTTGCTTCTTGCGTCAGACCAAGGCTGTGTCTCATTGCTAGTTTTACTTGATCTTAGTGCTGCATTCGATACTATAGATCATGACATACTGATAGATCGATTACAAAACTATACAGGTATTCAAGGGCAGGCTTTAAGATGGTTTAGATCCTACCTGTCCGATCGCTACCACCTTGTTCATTTAAATGGGGAGTCATCTCAATTATCACCAGTAAAATATGGAGTGCCACAAGGATCTGTCCTAGGTCCTCTGCTATTTTCGATATACATGTTGCCACTTGGTAATATTATTAGGAAATACGGGATTAGTTTCCACTGTTATGCCGATGATACTCAACTATATATCTCAACAAGACCAGATGAAACTTCTAAATTATCTAAGCTAACGGAGTGTGTTAAAAATGTAAAAGAATGGATGACCAATAATTTTCTCCTATTAAATTCGGATAAGACAGAGATATTACTTATTGGACCAAAAGACAGTACGCCGAATCTCGTGGATTACAATTTGCAACTAGACGGATGCACGGTTACTTCCTCTACAGTCAAAAATCTGGGTGTTATATTAGATAGCAACTTGTCTTTTGAAAATCATATTTCCCATGTTACAAAAACGGCATTCTTCCATCTTAGAAACATTGCCAAGTTACGAAACATGATACCTGTTTCTGATGCAGAAAAGCTAGTTCATGCATTCATGACCTCTAGACTGGACTATTGTAATGCACTTCTAGGTGGTTGTCCTGCATCTTCAATAAACAAGCTACAGGTAGTCCAAAATGCAGCGGCTAGAGTCCTTACCAGGTCAAGAAAATATGATCATATTACCCCAATTTTACAGTCTCTGCACTGGCTACCTGTTAAGTTCCGTATCAGTTACAAAATATTATTACTTGCCTATAAGGCCCTTAATGGGTTAGCTCCTGCGTACCTAACTAGTCTTCTACCACGCTACAATCCATCACGCTCTCTAAGGTCGCAAAATTCTGGACTTTTGGTAGTACCTAGGATATCAAAGTCCACTAAAGGAGGTAGAGCTTTTTCGCATTTGGCTCCCAAACTCTGGAATAGCCTTCCTGATACCGTTCGGGGTTCAGACACACTCTCTCTGTTTAAATCTAGATTAAAGACACATCTCTTTGGCCAAGCATTCAAATAATGCATCTCATAATCTTTTACTGCAGTCATAATCTTTTACTGCAGTTATATCTAATCAAATGCACATTATTATTCGTTAGTTTGGGTTAAACAAATCATTTTTGCTTGGTTGGAACAGCAGCTACGCTAATTATGTTTGTATTTGTTTCTCTGTTTTTTGCCACGGGATTAACATCCCGTGGTAACTAGGATTTACACAAGCTTCAGTCTGGATCCAGAACACCTGAGAAGAGATGATGCAACTCCTCAGAGGACCTCAGATGATGCCAACCCTGAAACAACATCCAGAACTACCACATTTTGCTATAAGTTTGATTGCATCATATAATAATTGCTGTTAATATTGTTCATCGTCTGTTTTATTACGTCTTATATTGATTTTTCCGTTCTGCTGGTTCGTCTGGTCAGAGGAGAACTGGCTCCCCGACTGAGCCTGGTTTCTCCCAAGGTTTTTTCTCCATTCTGTCACCGATGGAGTTTTGGTTCCTTGCCGCTGTCGCCTCTGGCTTGCTTAGTTGGGGACACTTCATTTCCGGCGATATCGTTGACATAATTGCAAAGATATTATTTAAACTGAGCTGGATGTTGACATCACTGAATTCAATGATGAACTGTCTTTAACTGAAAAATGAGTGTTTACTATTGTCACTTTGCATTATTGACACTATTTTCCTAATTAATGCTGTTCAGTTGCTTTGACACAATCTGTATTGTTAAAAGCGCTATATAAATAAAGGTGACTTGACTTGACTTGAAATATTACACTGAATACTCATTATATTTTGCTTTACCTGTTAGTCTTAATTATTTCATGTATGTTTAAATGAATCTGCTATGAAACATGTTATGACAGCCACTGTGTAATTGGATATATTTTAACAAATAGAAATTGTATAATTTAAGTTAATCTAAAAACTACATTATGTGCAATTTACATGCTTGCACACAATTTTTTTTTTTTAAAGTTAAGTGTTGATTATTATATTTAAAAATAAATAGCCTAATTAAATTTAAGTCTGGGTTAAGTTGTTAATTGTAACCTTATAATGTAAAGGACTCCCTATAGTTTAAAGCATAAAGGTAGATTTTTTTCGCTAAGAAACTTAATTATAACTGAATGTATTTAAAGAAAGAGCAACTTGTTCGGTAAACCACTATTTTAAAAAAAAATGAAATCATATCGAACCGTGATGTATATGTTTGGATCATTTCAATCTCATCTTACTAAGTCATATCACTGGAGATATAGAGCGACGACTGATATTTAGATCATTTTATATAAGCTATATATATATAATCACTGATTATGCATCACAAGCAGCAGAATTTCATTATATGAATATCAGCATCTGCAGCAAATTCATATTTTTGCTCAGTTTGAGTCTCTGAATAAAATTGAGCTGTTTTTTCCTCCGTATTCTCACTGTATCAGAGCCATAAAAGCCTGATGCATCAAATGATACTCAACAAAAAACACTTTGTGTCTTTATTATACAATATTAGAACGATATTGTGTCTAAAGGTTCAATAAACTGATTTTTTTCTGACTATGATTTCATGTGTCAGGCCTTACAGGGTTAATCTCAGTCTGGAAATGAACTGATAACTGTATGTGTAGTTAACACTTAATATGAAATGAGCTGGGTGTTTAAATGTGATGTCTTGGTTTGATTGTGAGCTGTTGTTGTTGTGTGTGATCAGGGTTCCTCTGGCGGTGGAGATGTGGCACAGAGAGCCGAGCTCTGGAGATGTTCTGCTGGGTTCTGTCAGCATTCATCTGTCTCGCCTCCTTGACCCATCAGGTCATCAGCACTGGACACAGCTGTTCGGAGAGGATTCCCATCATGAAAGCAGACGGGTTCGTGCAGATTTGCAAATCTGAATCCATGAAGGCTAACCTGATGTGGTCAGCAACTGTATTTAGTTGTTGGATCATATTCTGTTCAATCCCAGCAGATCATTGTACCTGTAGCACACAGAACTCACCTCTAGATGGCGACCTTAAAACACACAGTCCTGTTATGCAATCTTATTATTCAACAGTATCATGTACAAACAACAAGGCACTGACTATGTAAACCATGGACCACAAATGCAAATCTGAATCCATGAAGGCTAACCTGATGTGGTCAGCAACTGTATTTAGTTGTTGGATCATATTCTGTTCAATCCCAGCAGATCATTGTACCTGTAGCACACAGAACTCACCTCTAGATGGCGACCTTAAAACACACAGTCCTGTTATGCAATCTTATTATTCAACAGTATCATGTACAAACAACAAGGCACTGACAATGTAAACCATGGACCACAAAACCAGTCATAAGCTGAATAAATAAGCTTTGCATTGATGTATGGTTTGTTAGGATCGGACAATATTTGGAAATCTGGAATCTGAGGGTGCAAAAAAATCTAAATATTGAGAAAATCATCTTTAAAGTTGTCCAAATGAAGTTCTTAGCAATGCATATTACTAATCAAACATTAAGTTTTGATATATTTACGGTAGGACATTTACAAAATATCTTCATGGAACATGATCTTTACTTAATATCCTAATGATTTTTGGCATAAAAGAGAAATGTATAATTGTGACCCATACAATGTATTGTTGGCTATTGCTACAAATATCCCCCAGCGACTCAACACTGCTTTTGTGCTGCAGGGACACATTTATGTTTGCATTATAACAGTAGGATCAGGCGCATAAAGAAATAAATAGAATAGAGAATAGATCAAATACAAATAAATTAATAGAAAAAGAAAATTAAAGGGCTAGTGCTTTTTTGTAAGTCATATTGTTCTATTATGGCAAAAAGGATTATCGCATTGTTATTTTATTATTTTCAGGGCTTTTGTATAAGAATGAAACTCATTGTGAAATGCACAAAACCTAGGTTTCACTTTCTAATGCTTGCATTTATGTATATTTGATTTCCAAAGAACAAGGATGTTATTAACCAAGCAATGTTTGAGGAAGGTGAGGAAACTTTGGGAAAAATCAGTCACGAATATCATAAGGCGTCTACATGCATACAATGGAAAAATAAATGATCAGTAGTTTCAGTATTAACACAAACACAATGCTGAAATGTCTGTAAAAAGTGAAACTATGGATTTATCTTAAAGGGACAGTTCACCCAAAAAAATAAACATTCTTTTGTGGCACAAAAGAAGATATTTTGTAGAATGTTGGGAACTAAACAACATTAAAGCCCATTTACTTTCATTGTATGCACTAAAAACACTGAGACATTTCTCAAAATATCTTCTTATGTGTTCATAGAAGAAAGTCAAACAGGTAAATGGTTGCAGAATGATGATTTCTGGGTTAAGGGTGTGTATTTATGTCACCACATCAAGCACATTTTTATGATACATGACAACAATTGGTTTTTATGGAAGATAGTCATAATTGTGAGATATAAACTCTGAATTTTGAGGGGAAAAGTCATAATTGCGAGATATAAACTCTGAATTTTGAGGGAAAAAGTCATAATTGCGAGATATAAACTCTGAATTTTGAGACAAAGTCACGGTTACCTTTTTTATTTTTTTATTCTGTGGCAGACACAAAAAAAACGAATTGTAAGATAAAAAGATTACAATCATAGTTACCTTTATTATGCTTTTGTCCCATGGCAGAAATGGTGTGAGTTTAACGGTTGAACTGAATGTGTCTCTGTAGGTCTGAGAAGTTGGCTGAACTCTGTTATGTGAGCGCTCTTGAAGATCTGGGGTTTGTGAAAGCTCAAGACGTCCTCGTCTCTGAATCGTCACAGGTGCTTCACCTTTGATTCCTCACCGACTCTCGTTCTGTATCTGAATGTTAATGTGGCTTGGACAGCAGAGTTATGGGTAGGGATGCACCGAAATGAAAATTCTTGGCCGAAGCCGAATACCGAACACTTTTTTTTTTTTTACTGTTTTGGGTTGTTTTTCAAAGAAAAAATCAATTACAAAACAACAATTTAAAAATATTTAACGCTCAACATTTTTTAACATTCTAGCAGACATTACGCCAACAAAGCACAATTTAACTTAAAATTAATAAGTTAGTAAAATAATATTTTTTTGGCGATCAGACCCCCTTCTTGAATCAGGCATGTATTTTTACTGTACAAATAAAAGCAGCCTTGCTGAGCAGAAGAGACTTCTTTTAAAACATTACAAAATATTACAGATCCCAATTTGAACGCTATGTGTGTATGTTATAATAAATGTATTAAGAGAGCTGTTGTAATGATTATTATCATTATTATTGTCTTTTTATTTTATTTTACAGAACAACAGTAAAATGACAACAATACTAACATTTATGAATGTTGGAGTTCTAGCTTTTTCTCAAAGCTTCTTTTTGTCGACGACAGCAGATTTATAAATGAGTCTCATTATGAATACGTCGCACGTATCGCATTGTAACATGCCTTGTAAAAATTCATAATAATGTGACTGAGCAACTGACGAGTAACATTGTATCAGCGAAGATTTTCCTCACGCTTTGTACTTTGAATGCTGGTTGACAAGCAGATAGCACCGACTCAGAATACATGCAATGCTTATTGGTGCAATGGTAATGTTTGTTGATCAGGGTCCCAATGAGGCAGAGACGGTCATGCGACCTCGAGAGACCCTGGAGTACAAGGCAGCGCTGGAGCTGGAGATGCAGGAGGATCTGTTCGACAATCAGGTGCGGCTCGGTTCTCGGATCACATGTGTCATGGAAAACAGAATTGAGTTTTTCACTGTCGTGGAGCTATGAAGAAACTCTAATGTGCACAATGCAAAGCATCTCCTCGCCCCAAAAACAGCATAAGATAAACAAAGCATTACAGTGTTGACATCAGAACCATGAGCTCATACACTGTAAAAATCACACTACGGTAAAAACCAGTTACTTGATTAACAGCAAGTCCCTTTAATCAATATGGTGGAAAACTGTAATCGATGTAACGGGACATTTCATTTTACGGTAAAGTACTGTTTAAATATTCTGTTTTAGAACAAGTCATCTTATAATGTAGTGTCAGTAACGTGTAAACATGCATTTGTCCCAGTTTATCCAGGCTCAATCCTCCCCGTCTCTCTTCTTCTTTTCTGGACGCTCTCTGCTCGTTTGTGAACACCAAACATCGTGTGTCAGGTTTCTCTGGCGTCTGCTTTCTGTCAGAGGGAGAAGCGGCGGATGGAGAGCGCTTGTAAGGTTTTAGTTGGACTGGACGCTGTCTTAACACCGGGAGCGGCTTGAGCTGATGGATGTGCTGTTAAACACACACTGGATCTGTAAAGAACAGCACTGTATATATACCACAGCTGTCAGCGCTTCTCTGCTTCTTAGACAGCATTCACAGACTCGTCACATTTGATGAATTTACCCTGTAAAAGATAATGTGTTGTATTGCATACACTACCAGTCATACGTTTTTGAACAGTAAGATTTTAAAAGAAGTCTCTTCTGCTCACCAAGCCTGCATTTATTTGATTCAGAAATACAGCAAAAGCAGTAATATTGTGAAATGTTTTTACTATTTAAAATAGCTGCTTTCTATTTGAATATATTTTAAAATATAATTTATAAAAAAATATTTATATATAATTTATAATTATAATAAAATATGATTTATTTTTTATAATTTTAGTTGGGGGGGGAGGGGGATTAATTATAGAAATGAATACTTTTATTTAGCAAGGATGCTTTAAATTGATTAAAAGGCGTTGATGATAAAGGCATTTCTAATGTTACAAAAGAATTCTGTTTCAGATCAATGCTGTTCTTCTGAACTTTCTGTTCATCAAAGAAACCTGACAAAAGTCTACTTGGCTGTTTTCAACAATAATAATAATAATAAATGTTTCTTGAGCAGCAGATCAGCATATTACACTGATTTCTGAAGATCATGTGACACTGAAGACTGGAGGAATGATGCTGAAAATACAGCTGCGCATCACAGAAATACATTACAGTTTAACACATATTCACATAGACAACAGCTGTTTTAAATTAAAAAAATATTTCACAATTTGTACTGTATTTTTTAACAAATAAACGCAGCCTTGCTGAGCAGAAGAGCCTTCTTTAAAAAACGTTAAAATGTTACAGATCAAAAACTTTTGACTGGTAGTGTGTATAAATTTCTAAGACCTGAACATGTTCAATCTTTGCTGTTTCACACTCGATCTCCTCACGTCTTCTGTCTCTAATTGAGAGTTTAGAGTGTTTTATCCAGTCAAAGCTCTTTTAGTGTAATTGTACAAACGTCCAGCTTCAGCGCAAGCTTCTCGTGTCAAATGTTGATTGATTTTGATCAAGTAAAGGTCAGAATAAGTGCAGTAATATCTCCAGATGAACACTTACTGGACTGAAGCAGCTCAGCTTTACTTGATTCTCCATCAATCATGTTTTAGAGTCTCAAATCTGATCCTCAGGATCTTTTGAGGAGCGTTTGTTTCCAGAAGCTTTACTTTCACTGTTCCTCAGCGGAGGAATGATCTTCTCAAGCCTCCAGAACATCTCACATCTTCTGAGGAGCCTTTATTTCTTCAGCTCTCGATCACTGCATTATATGTTTGGAGCATCTCATCTCACTGAGACCCTCTCGATCACTGCATTATATGTTTGGAGCATTTCACTCTCATCTCACTGAGACAGATTACTGGAGATATAGAGCGATGGCTGATATTTAGATCAGTATCTGCTGTACTGTTATAAAGATCTCACTGATTATACATCACAAACATCAGAATTTCATCATACAAATATACCTACGTCTGCAACAAATTCATAATTTTGCTCAGTTTGAGTCTCTGAGTAAAATTGAGCCATTGTGTCCTTTATATTCTCTTTATATCAGACTATATGTGACCCTGGAGCACAAAACCAGTCATAAGGGTCATCTGAGAGCTGAATAAATAATCTTTCCATTGATGCATGGTTTGTTAGGATCAGACATCTTTAAAGTTGTTCAAATGAAGTTCTTAGCAATGCATATTACTAATCAAAAATCAAGTTTTGATATAGTTACGGTAGGAGATTTAAAAAATATCTTCATGGAACATGATCTTTACTTAATATCCTAATGATTTTTGGCATAAAAGAGAAATGTATAATTGTGACCCCCAGCGACTTAACACTGCTTTTGTGCTGCAGGGACACAAATGAGCCATAAAAGGATCAAATGTGATACAAAACAAAAAATCACATGCAATTTGTATTTTATTTTGTTGAAAGATTTAATACATTTGTTCCATTTGAAGTGAAATGGATTTTTCAGACCATTTCGTTTGTCAGGCTTTACAGTGATAATTTCCCATTTGTCTCTTGTTCCATCATCATGTTGACTATGAAAGATACAAGAGGCTGAGAACAAATGCAAGCAGCTGGAGAAGGAGTTCGAGCTGTACCGGGATCAGCAGAACGTCCGGCCCGAGGTCCGTCTGCAGTCAGAGATCAACCTGCTGACCCTGGAGAAGGTCAGAGACGCTAAACACTACACAGAGCAGAGGCGTGTTATATCCAGTCTGTTTTGAGAATCATCTGTGTTTTTATCATCAAGGTGGAACTGGAGCGTAAACTGGAGTCTGCTACTAAATCTAAACTGCATTACAAGCAGCAGTGGGGACGAGCCCTGAAGGAGCTAGCCAGGTTTAAACGGGTAAGACTAACCGGTTAACTCATCTAATCCGATCACATGATTACTAGAGTGTGTTTTACTCTCGTCACAGCTGTGAATGATGAGTGAAAGCTTTCAGACAGTGTAGTTTTAACCTGAAAAATTTAATAAATTGGATCAGTCTCATAAAAACGTGTCCCCAAGTCTTACACCCCAAAATATATTTTGCATAAAGAAAATTAAACCTGTTTTAAGGACGATCTGAATTTTTTTTTTTTGCATTGTGGTGTTTTCAGTATTTAATATTGGTACTGAAATACTTGAAAATGGTAAAAAAAAAATATATATATGTAACAAATATATTAAAAAAAATTTTATAAAAAAAATAATAAAATAAAAATTTATTTATATATTAATATATTGATGCATATATTTATTCCGGATTCTCATGACAGCAATGCATCTGGATGTTTAACTTTGGAATTGGTTTGTGATTCTTATTTATACTAAAATACTGTGTGTGTGTATGTATGTGTATATAAATATATGATAGATAGATAGATAGATAGATAGATAGATAGATAGATAGATAGATAGATAGATAGATAGATAGATAGATAGATAGATAGATAGATGATTTAATTTTGAATTTGTAATTCTCAAATTCTCAAATAATATTACAAACATAAAAATATTTAAAATTCTAAAATAAGTTTAAATGTATATATTAAAGGTGACATATCATGAAAATCTGACTCCTCCAGGTTGTAAGTGCTATAATCAGGTCCCCGGTGCATCTACCAACCAAAGAAACGTGAAAAAGATGAACCCAGTCACTCTGTTTTGAGAAGCCTTTTTCTGCAAGCGTCTGAGAAAACCAGCGCGTCTGATTTCTCTCCCTCTGTGACGAGGCAAAGGGATCTCATTATAATATTACCACCCCTTAATCTGTAAGTTTACACCCACGACACCCTTATTGTGTTTTCACAAGCGACAACGGTGTACCAGCTCTAACGCCATGATGAAAGTGTGAGCGAAGCATGCTAACTGTTCTGTGTTTGGCTGCACAGACGAGCACAGAACACTGTTTAGAGTCCCAGCCTCAGAGACGACAGAGCAGTGCATTTATTGATGTATTTACTGTATATTGCTGCTCCCACACAGATCCCAAATAAACATGTGCTTTATTTCTCAGCTGTTTACCTTCACCGACATAACCCACTGTTTTTGTAACTCGTGTGTGTTTTTAACGTAAGCTTGTGTGTGAATGAGAGCTTAGTTTGCTGTGACAGCCGCTTTCTGTGCGTGTGCTTCAGATGTGTGTGCTCAGAAAACCCTATATCAGAAGCTTAAACTCATATAGTTTAAAACGCATGATTCCTGCCACATGATAATCAGAACCAAAACAGATGTTTTTAGCAGGTCCGA